AACAGCCACTTTTTGGTTGTTTAAAAAAAGGTGCGCTCGTTCAAAACGGTTGCGTTCGATCCTTTGCTGGCTGTGCTGATTTAAATCTAGCGGTTCTGTTGTGTTTGTGTCGCAAGTTCAGTGACGCAGGTAGTGACGATTCTCTCCGGCCAATCCGTGATCAGCAGAGTTTACACGTCACGTTTTGGTAACGGTACGGTTCACTTGGAACCTCAACCGAGGTGGTACTAAAAAAAGTACTAGGTACCAGGTACTGTACCCAGTGGAAAACCCCCCAAAAGTGAACCGTACCGAGCCGTACCGTACCATGCAGTGGAAAAGCGCCTTAAGGGAACTGCTTTGGGACTGGGATCCTGCGGGTCTCGACACAAATCTCGACACACAAGATTTAACAAGAAGGATGGAGTAAACAAATTAATGAAGTTGAGAAGAAGATTAAAGCAGGTTTTTCTTATATAAAAGCAAAACAAGGCAGGTCTGACATTTAGACACATTTCTCAGTTGTTACTGGGGAAAAAATGAAAATGAATTTTACTTGTAGTTAAAAAGTTATTTGTAGTGCTATACTTTAGCTTGACACTAACACAATTATCTTACACCTAGCAAACACAGTACGTTGTGTGGACGTCGCCAGTTGGTCGTCATTTGGTCAGCGTGACATTACTTAATGTTAACGGTCCATTTTTTAGAAAATTGGCTAACGTACCAGAAACGTTGTGGGAACATCCTCAAAAGACGTCGCTAGTTAGCCCCGTGGAGAACGTTGTAGCGACGTGGTCAGCTGGTCTCCAAGATAACTTTTCATATTATTGCACTACATGTATTGTCTTTGTTAAGATGTATGCCATAGCCTATTTGGGAAATATACTGAATTCATAAAGCATTTTAAATGATGGCATGAATTATTATATTTGTAGATATATAAAATATGTCATCAAAAGGACAAAACAAAAACCAAATAGTTTGCTTAGCAAATGGTGATCATTGTGAATGACATGTTTGTGAATGACTGAGAATTTACTGAAAGAGGGCACTGGACAAATTAACATTCAAACCATCGCACGTCACTTTCTGAGTACTGCGTAAGTGTGCGTGCCAATCATTTGTTCTGTAACGGTCAACTTCCAGCGGACAGACACGGAGGAAAAGGTTATAAATCTACTTTTATTCATCGTCTTTACTGATATAACGTTAGATGTCACCAAAGATGAGTAGTGTTTTGTATTTTTGTAGGTTTTCTAATTTAATTTAATAAATAAATGCCCTGTTTGGTTAATTACGTTAGCTTACCTGTGTCCTTATTAGTTGATCATCCTCACCTGTCTGTCCCTCGTTAGCTACCCTACTTAAGTTGTAGTCTGTTCAGTCTGTCTTCGTCTGGTATTGTTGAATGTTACCCTGTGTGTTAGACCCTCTTCATCTTGTGGATTACAATTAAAAGGATTTGTTTATATTATCTTCGTTGTGCCTGCATCTTCCTAGCAGAATACCGGACCAACAAAAAAAGTAAGCGGCGCCCTTCCCCCTCGCTTTGTTTTTCGTTTTGAAAGTGTTTCGTTCGTTTTTTTTTTCATGGACATCGCCACACTTTTCACCTCATTAACCTGCAAAGACCTTCCCTTCTTGGAGTATGTTGTGGAGTTCAACCAGCTCGCCGGTCTTACGGCATTCGACGACGCTACGCTGAACTCCCTGTTCTGGATCGGGGCTAATTACCATTGCCCTGTCGACCTCCCAGACACCACTGGACTGTGCCGGAGGGAGGCAATCATCCGGTGTCTGGAGAGCGTCTACACCTGATCCAGAACACAGCCAGACCCAGAGCCCAGCCCACCATCACCCCGCTGCACGGATCCAAAGCTCGAGCCCATCGCTGACAGAGAGCCAAAGCCTGCCACGACTGACGAGCCATTGCCAAATGGAGCTACGGAGCTGAAGATCGCTGTGGAGCCGGCGCTTCGCTCCTGCCTCCTCCACCGCTGCCTCCTGTCAAGCCCCTTTGCTCACCCTCAGCCCACCATCTGTGTGGTGGGATCACTGCAGTTCTGCCAGTCTCCATCGGCGTCATAGCTGGAGGATAACTTGTCACTGCCTCCAGCCTCTGGGTCCCGGACTCCGCCTCGGCCCATCGACCCAGCGGCTCCACCATGGCTCCTAGCTCCCTCCCTTCCTCTCCACCATGTCCTGTCAGTCCACTGTCTCCCTCGTCCCTCCGGTTCCGCCTTGGTCTGTCGTCGACAATCCGCCGCCTCGTGACTCCACTCCTCCGGCTACACCTCGTCCCTCCGGATCTGTCAGGCTCCTCCATCCCTCTGGCTCCACCTTGGATATAAGGTGGAGCCACCTTATATCCAAGGTGGCTCCACCTTGGAGCAAAAAGTATTCTCGTAGCTTCGCAAAATTGAAGTTGCGCCACTGATGTCACATGGACTGTTTTACCGATGTCCTTACTACGTACGTTTCCCTGGGAACATTACAGTTGTGTTGCTGTCTATGGGAGGAACAGAGAGCTCTCGGATTTCATCAAAAATATCTTAGTTTGTCTTCCGAAGATGAACGAAGGTCTTACAGGTTTGGAACGACATGAGGAGTAATTAATGACAGAATTTTCATTTTGGGGTGAACTAACCGTTTAATAAGGTTTTTGACGAGCGAGTGACAGAGATCTGTGTTTTGTCCATCATTAGAACGGCCGCATCTGAGGCAGTAAATTAATAGCATCATGTTTTCATCAGTTTGCAGGTTATAAAGTTTATTGTAGCTTTATGGGCACTCAGTTTCTCTTGTTGTTTAATACATTTAATCTCACGATATAAAAGACGAACCGCTATGCACAGGATATTTAAAACTTACAAAAGTGTATTGGATACAACTAAACAGTAAATGCTAAGACTCTTGTGTTCTTTAAAGGGGTCATATGATGCGATTTCAATTTTTCCTTTCTCTTTAGAGTGTTACAAGCTCTTGGTGCATAAAGAAGATCTGTAAAGTTGCAAAGACTAAAGTCTCAAATCCAAAGAGATATTCTTTATAAAAGTTAAGAGTCAGCCACGTCTACCTAAAACGGCTCGTTCTAACATGCCCCCACATATCTACGTCACGATGTGGGAAGATTTGCATAACGCCACCCAAATGTTCACGCAAAGAAAGAAGGCGTAACTTTTATTCTCGCTGTAGTATTGTTGCTGCCGCTGCCGCCGCGATGTCGTGAAGACGCTGTGTGCTTTGTTGTGAAAGCGAAACTACTTTGTTTGGTCTTCCAAAAGAGGACGATATCTGCTTCGTCATGCCTGGAGCTGATCCGTGCTGGTCGCTGAGGAAATACTTCAACTTTGCTGTGGATCGCCGGATTGGCTTTCACTGTGGAGTCCAGCCCGGGGTCGTCACATGTGGTTGCCGCAAGCCCATAACGATGCTTTTGGGAAATGCACCCCTGCAGGTGCGTGTCACGTCATTCATGTTAGTCATGAGCGCATGCACACTTTGGCCAGAGCGGTAATAATGTGATTAGGTGCATGTAAATGCACTGATTGATAATAATCAGAAATGTTTCTCGAGCATATGAGAAAGATCATGTGACACTGAAGACTGGCGTAAAGGCTACTGAAAAATTCAGCTTTGCCTCACAGGAATGGAATACATTTTAAAGTGTATTCGAAAAAAATAGTATGAAAACTTATTTTAAACTAAAAAAATATTTTACAATATTACGGTTTTGTACTGTAATTTTGATCAAATAAATATAGCCTTGGTGAGTAGAAGAGACTTCTTTCAAAAAACAAAGATTCCAGATTTTGACTAATAAAAACAATAAACCTGACTACAATAATATGGTAAATTTTATTAACTCTTTCCCCGCCATTGACGAGTCATCTCGTCTTTTAGAAGAAAACGCAAAGACGAGTTTTTACGGCTTTTCGTGTTTTCACTGTTATACACTCGGGGGCGCTATTACACATCTTCTGAACGAGGACAAAAACACACGTGTACAGGAAAAAACACACGTGAACAGGATGGAGAAACTGGCGATCTCTTATGTAAACAGATGCATATGAAAAATAATGCGATCATCAGCAATAGACAGCATATAAATGAAAACTGTTAAAATTAGTAAAACGTTGATCCAGGAATATGTCTGTGCAAGCTTTGGAGGTGTTGATGGAAGCGATTTACTGGATTTATGCTTTGATAATCGTACTGAATATTATCCAGATGTTCCAGATTTTCTCAACTTTTTGCTCAAAATTATGCATTTTTTTATGAAACCTACCTATATTCAAGTGTTGATAAAAAAAAGAATGCTTTTAGCTAGAATAAAACTGATTTTTTTTGTTTAAAAGTAGAGGCTCTGGTCTTTATTTGGTGTATTGCATATTCAAATATTCATACAGCAAAATATACCGGAGGCCATCAAATTTTAGTGAAAATCATCAAAATTGCTGGCGGTGGCTGGCAACTTTTTTCAAAAATGCTGGCGGGGAAAGAGTTAAAAGTTTCCAGTTTGCAAGGAATCTGGAGTCTCTGACTCTGCACTGGAGGAACTCTTTGATGAAGAAGCTCAAGTGCTGAGGAGGAGCCTCGTTCTACAGCAAAACACTGCATCAAGAACGACACTCTTCCTCTTCTCTGCCTCCTCCGCACCGTCTGAAAGAGTCTTCTCCACAGCCAGTAATCAGAGATCACAGGTTCATCACGCTCATTTTCCTAAACAAAAACTGTTTAGCCAAATAATACAGGAGAGATGCTGGAAATCTCTATATTGTTCATATTACGTATCTTCACTCTTGATGAATGTTGTTGTTTTCTTTATTCCTTTTATCTTCTGGGAAGCTCAAGAACTATGGTTCTTTGGTAATTGTAATATGGCTTAGGTTTATCTTCTGATAGTGAAGCAGTATTAAAGCACAGACATTTGTAGCAGGTGCCTCATATAGGACACTCGGAAAACAATTTAACTATTTCTGCAAAAAAGTTATAATGAAGTATCTACCAAATTGTTTCATATCTTTTTATCATGTCTTTTTTTGCACCAAATTATGGGGAGTTGTATCAATAAGAGTACTGATAATTTTCACTGATAACGTCATTATTTAACTTATACCCCTCCTTAACTTTTTCAATTGATTATATTGCGTAATCTATGAATTGATGTGGTCCGTTTTGACTTGGTAACACTTTGCATGGTTAAAGAACGGGTGTAATGTTCAAAATGTTTTGGCTTAGTATTTGTAGAAAGTGGCACTGAATAAATATCGATTCATGTATGAATGCGGTGTGTTTTTGTCTATTTTCTATTAGAATTTAATGTTTTTGTATTGGTTTGCATTGCATGTGTGTAATGAGTGCATTTACGATAAACCCCCTATAATTAGATTACCATTAGATTTTATAAGGTTTCTTTATTAGTTTATGTATTTCAAGGTAATGGTTGGAGCACAGGACCCAGGACCCGGACTAAAGGACGTTCTCACCATGTTCCAGCGACGTACCAAATAACGTCGCCACGACGAATATGGAAATCACAGTTTTACGTTGCTGGAACGTTATTTGGTACGTCGCTGCGACGAATATGGTCCGGTCCAGTTACGTCGTCACGTCATGTTAGCCGAGTGGTCTGTTTAATCGAGTTAAATGTTTTATGTCTGTGATTCTGGGGTGCATTTCCCGTACAAGGGCTTAACTTGTACCATATTTTTCTTACACAATGCATCGATTTGCTTCAGAAGGCCTTTATTAACCCCGGAGCCGTATGGAGTACTTTTTATGATGGATGGATGCACTTTATTGGACTTCTATTGGACTATTGCATCTCAACAGCCATTCACTGCCATTATAAAGCCTGGAAGAGCCAGAATGTTTCTTAACTCTGATTGTATTCGTCTGAAAGACGAAAGTCATATACATCTGGGATAGCTTGAGGGTGAGTAAATCATGGGGTCATTTTGCATTTTTGGGTGAACTATCCCTTTAAGTTTAAAAGTTTAGCTCAAGAGAGCTGGTTAATTACAAACTAATTTGTAATTTGTCTAAAATATTAGAAAAACGGAGTCTTCTCAACTATATTCAGTTTTGCAGAATATCTGTTTTTGGGAAGAATTTTGAATACTGAATATTGTTAGCTAAAAGGTGCTAATAACAGCATTCGTTTAATTGGTTTCTCAAAAGGAAAACACGTTTTTCTATCTTATACCCTCTAAAAGTTTGTATTTCAAGGAATAAAGGCGTTTTCCATTGTTTTCAATTCAGAAGTACAATTTTGTTCAACGTTAAACTAAATAATCGTTTTGTTTAGGCTACTTCTACTTCTAATGTGTGACATGTCACTCATTGCTGTAGAGCTGGACATTTTATTAAGGATCACATGACTGAGTTCATCTTTGAGAAGAAAACCAACCTGTTTGTTCCTCAGCATCTTCTTGTTTCAGACTGAACACTTCTTCAATCTTCACGTCTTCAAACTCCTCCTTAATGAACGCCATCTTTATAACAGTTACTGCACCAGTTTTTCTGTGTTTGGACAAAAAAGAAAGATTCAAGTAAACGATCTCAATCAGCTCCCTAGTTCAGTAGTCAGCGCACTGATAAGGGAGTCAGTCAAAGTAGGAGTTAATGGCATAATAATTATATATATATAAAACTAGCACAATAATAAACTATCACAAATGATCTATAAAGTTCATATTTAGGTATTTATGATTTATATAGTTGGTATTTGTGGATAGCATGTATTATATCAGATTTTTGTTAGTGCACTAGTTAAATACAGGTTTGTAAGAGTTATCACGTTTATGTTTTGGTTGTGTTTACATTGTGCGGACCGTCAGCGCGCGGTGACTCAAGAGATCCGAATCACTGAATCGGTTCGCGAAGCAATTGATTCAATTGACGCAGTTTCTAAAAGCTCCGTTTCTCCATCACTTGCTGATCAATTCCTGTTTATGGTAAACTGATACACGATAAAGGAAGCAAAGTGAGGCGCACTTTTCTGTTACAGATGTGTGGATGCGTTTAAATCACAAATTAGCACTCATAAATGTTAGACGAAGCATAGCAGTATTACATTTAATGTGCTCCAACGGGTTGCATCGATTTAAACACTTTGCTTTAAATGGCTAAAAACACAAACCTTTCTTCAGTCGAATCACAGCGCGGTGCGGCCTTATGACGTCGCACCATCAGAACAAAATAAAAGTCCTACATATAGCGCACAGAACATGTACAGAAAACGAAAAAAAAGTATTTATTCAAATATATTGTCCAGTGATGTTCTGAAAATAAAATAAATCAGTTAAAGTTATTAGCCTGTGTGAGATTCTGTCTGAAAGGCAAAACAGTCATAAGTGCAGAAACCATTTAGTTTATTACTAAATATAAAATGTTTGTCAACCAAATGTAACCTTTATTAGGGCAACAGACACATACAAAAACATGCAACAATCATTAAGTAGCATATGTTTAAATGTTATTATTTATTGTGTGCAGAATATGAAACTTAAAGATTGCCTTCCATCAACATTCTGTCAAGTTGATATTTATTCTTATATTTCAATATGCATTTAAAATTATATTTGAATGGCCTCCTGTGGTGAACTGTGTGAATTACACTGCTGAAATATTTTTAAAGGGGTCATATGATGCGATTTCAAGTTTTCCTTTCTCTTTGGAGTGTTACAAGCTGATTGTCCTGGGAACATGGCACGTATGGTCACCCTACACATCACAGTGGAGTCAGCTGTCTTAACCGTGGCTTGTGTACAGCAAACACATACCAGCTTCATCACTGTGTCTGTCACGAGACTCTGTTGCCCTTTCGGGCTTGAACTGATGGTAAAACTAATAGGCCTATTTCACAACGTGACGTCAGCAAGCCGGAAGTAGGGAAAACTCTTTTCCGGTAAAAGCGCTTCCAGAACAATGGCGGAGACTAAAAGTAGTCAATCTTGTAGCGTACCTTTGTGTTTCAACTCAAAGAAGAAACAACCGTACTTATCGTTTCATAGCTTTCCCAATGAGGAAAATATGAAAAAGCGTTGGATTTGGGCTATACGAAGAGATGAGGGGGCGGCATTTACATTGAGGAAGGGCAGCACTTTTGTGTGTGCTATGCACTTCATGGAGGATGAAGTCCGCGTGTAAATCTCTTACACCGCAGGCTGTGCCTTCCAGGTTTTCGTGGAACAACTGGGGAGACGTTAAATCACGCCAGACACGGACGGCAAAAAGAGGTGTCTGTGGTGAGCAGGAGGAAGCAAATGTTGAAATGGAGAGTGTTGATGCGGTGTTGCCGGTGCAGGAGCACGATTACAACAGCCGCCCTCCTCCGGGTGAGTAGCTATAGCATGTTGTTAGCTAATACAATAACTACAAATAGCCCAGAGTCGACAAAGATAGACAGAAGAACAGTAGGTAATTGCTAATTAAATAGAAATTATATAATTTTCTAATATATACAATGCTAGATATATAAAATTACGAGCACAGTTATGCTAACAATGGATCATGTTAGTAAGGTGAATGTGTTGTATAATTATTTGCACGGTCTGCTGCAGAGTGCGAACCAATAACACGATTTAAACCCAGTTATAACTGTTAATTTTTACCCTTGTCAGCCCTGTTTATACTGCTCTCTGTGGATTAGCTCAGTGGTTCTCAACCACGTTGCTGGAGCCCCCCAGCACTGCACATGTTGTATGTTTTCCCTGTCTGACACACCCATTTCTTGATTTATAGCCTCTTATGAGCTAACTACCTGAATCATGTGTTTTTGATTAAAGGGACAGATCACACCAAAATGAAAATGAAGTCTTCATTTACTTACCATTTACTCACCCTCAGTTTGTTCACAAAGAAAGATATTTGTAAGAATGTCAGTAATTAAACAGATCTGTTTCCCGACTATGGTAGTAAATGGTGTTCAAGATCTTTTTTTTTTTTTTTACTGACATTCTTCCAAATATCTTCCTCTGTGTTTAGCAGAACAAAGAAATTTATAAGACAATGCAATAAACAAATTCAATACAATTTGCGTTTATGACCTCAAGGTTAGATTATTGTAATGCTTTATTGGGTGGTTGTTCTGCACGCTTAATAAACAAACGTACAGTATTTGAAAAATAATGTGTTTTTTTAACATTAAAGCATGTCAACATATTCTGTTACACCAAATACACAAAATAATGATCTTTAAAAAAGCATCATATGACCCCTTTAAAACTTACATTCGATTATTTTGCACTGATTCAACATCGTTTAATCAACTGATTCTGTGCAGCAGCAAAAACATCTGTTCTACTGGAGAAAAAAACACATCACAGATATATAAACTGAAAAAGACAAAGGCTCTATAATAATTTGTCATGCCTTGGGTTTTCTCTTTCTCCATGTAGCTGTCTGTCATCATCAGTCAGTCACATTTAAATTTTTAATCTTAATCTAGCCTATATGATCATCCTGTAAGTTTATTAATTAGTTTATTTATGAAAACAACAGATGAACAAAGATTGTGCATCACTTTTTATGCTCACAAAGCAGATGAACGTTTGTTTGTTTTTGTGACAGCAGACACAACCTTTGTGCCTGAACCAGCGAATATGAAAAAAAAAAAAAAATGCACGAGAAATTAAATTAGCCTTGATCTTTTTTTCATATAAGAGGTCTTTGTACCATTAAAACATCCTGCAAGTTTCATAGCTTAAAACGTCCTCCTCATTATAAACAAAGCATTTATTTAATCAAGCTCCAAAAACGGCTCATTTTGGATCCGAGGTGCAAGGTGACGTCACCTTGGCACAAACATTTGCATAAACACCGCCTCCAGAGCAACACATCAACGAATAGTCTTCTTCTCACCATAGGCTCCGCCCACCGACGTTCAGCCGCTAATGGCTGACTCTTGATCACGCTGAATGTGAGTGTCGCGTCGTGTCAAAAGCTAATAGAAATGACAATCACTGTCGCTATCTTGTCTACACTGGTGTTTAAAGTACCTGAAAGCCATACTCAAGTAAAAGTACAGATATCGTACCAGAAAATGACTTTGGTAGAAGTTGAAGTCACTGTTTAGAATATTACTTGAGTAAAAGTCTTAAAGTATGTGATATTTATTGTACTTAAGTACGTTTAAAATTTAAGAAAATACTTTTCATACTCAAGTATTGAAAGTAAAAGTACAAGTAAATGCAAAATGTAAAAGAAGCAAATAAATAAATGTTCATACACAGCTTGAGTAGCAAGATTGTGTTCAGTTTTAACTCTTTCTTCCATTTTGTATTTTTGGGTAAGAATAAGAAGCACTCAACCGATTCGTTCAAAAAGCTGATTCATTCAATAAGTAAACACAGCGTCCTTTGCTCAGAGACACAAAACAGGGCTGTGATCTTTGTTTGGAACTATTTTCGTTTGCAAAATTGAGCAGAAACAAGCAATATTACCTCTAAAATGTAAGTCACTTATTGCTTTACTGAACTTGTATAAAATGATTATTAAATGTGTTATCATGCTGATATCTGCAGAAAAACGGAACTCTTTGTGTGATATAGATTAAGTTAACTATATTAAATTGTATACATATAAAAAGCATACAGAAGCATTTTTGCCGTCTACAATTTAGAATGCCTTGAATTTTGAGTTTTAATAGACTAATAAATCAACGTGCGTGCACTCTGTGTGTGATCTGGTGATAGTTTACTTGATAATATCAGATCGCAGCAACACTTACCATATTATCGCAGAAGATATACTGTATATTGCACACCCCAGCCTCGACTTGAGTGGAAAATGAATCATCCATGGTTGTGCGCGCACTTGTTTGCACGTGAGCAAAGGTGTTTTTAGGAGTCTAACTTGCAAACGCCAGACCACGGATTCGTCAAAAATGCAGTCCGTGTTCTTCTGACGATTTTGTAGTAAGTAACGAATATGCTTCGGGGAAATGTATCGGAGTAAAAGTATACATTTTAATTAGTAACTTGCAGACGCCAGACCACTGATTCGTCAAACCTGCTTTCCTGCTTCCTGCAGTCCGTGTTCTTCTGACTATTTTGTAGTAAGTAACGAATATGCTTCGGGGAAATGTATCGGAGTAAAAGTATAAATTGGCTGAAATATAAAAACTCAAGTAAAGTACAGATACTCCCAAAAAACACTTAAGTACTGTAACGAAGTATTATTACTTCGTTTCATTACACCACTGCTTGTCTACACTGGATACAGTATACAGATGCGCGTTCACTTTCTGACACAGTCACACTCGAGTCTGTCGTCAGTAGGACAAATGGAGTGATGTATAGTTAATGGAGTGCTATATACTTCTTCTTTCTAGATGTATTATTTAGAGGCCGGCCGATTAATCGGGCCGATTTGGGGGATTTTTAAATTAATCGGCATCGGCCGATTGTGCTGCAAATTAGGCCGATTTATAGGCAGGCGTATCTGCGGACAGCTAAGTGTTGTTTGTGTGTGTGTGTGTGACCGCCAGAAATAGATTTTCCAAAAGGATCATACTAAGTTGAATAAACTGAGCACTGCACATTTCAAAACTAAAATTCAGCGCGGGTGTTTATATATGAATGTATCTTTGAAAAGAACCAACCTACTATTAGGTTACATACATTTGCCTGCTGTACACTGTGCTCTGGAGCCTAACTGCATATTATAAACGATCAGACATTTCAGCTGACAGATGAAGGCTGTAATACTAAGGTTGTCCACTAGATGGAGTCATGGGATAAGAAATAATTTAAGTCTGATCTCTCTCGCGTCGGTTTCCATCCATTAGAATGACAAATAATTGCACAGAATGAGTTCATATCTACTGTACTGACAAAATAATTTTATATAATGTTTTAACAAATGCTTATAGATCATTAAAATCATTTACTACAACTTACAGATCATTAAAAGTTTTATATATCCTACCCTCTCAGTGTGTGTGTTTGTTTCACACTCTTGCTATTTTAGTGTAACCCTTTCATTGCTGTAACCCCAACAACCAGACTTCCAGATGTTTAAATGCATGTGCCCACTATACACTGTTTTCCTGATGCCACTGGGGTGGCGGTGCTACCATGGCTTGGGCCTGTCATCACCGCTATATTACATTTTTGGCTCCTGTCTTCACTGACCGGACTTTTTGCAAGAAATGTACCAAAGGCTCTCAGAATTC